CCTGTGTTGACTAGCCGTTTGTATACAAGAAATTCTAGCATATTAATTTAAAAAAATTTAGTGTTTCCCACGGACGAGTGAGATCCACTGACGCGTCGGATTTTCTGTACTCGGCGCCTGTAAAACTTTCGACTTCTGTGTGATTAGGCTAATCAGCCATATTTAATCGTTAACCATTCGGCTTCGCCTCCCCAATCAAATGCATATAAAAACCATATATCAAAACCCACCAGACTTTAAGATAAGTGATACAAAAGTTGCTCATTTTTTTAATCTCTATAACTTTTACATTGAACATTTTCGTCTAAAATTTGCAAAACACCACTTTCCACCCCTTTCAACCCCCGTGATTTCATCCGCGGAAAAATTAGGCTGTTTTAATTATTTTTTCCCAATTTCTATTCATTTCACTTGCCTGTAAAACCCGTTTTCGCCCGGTAACTAATTTTTTTTGGAAAAAAATATATAGCCTGGACTAGTAGGCGGTTTTACAAAAATAAAAAAGAGTAGGGACGTATCCATGAGAGAGGGTAAAGTCTTGCATACGGTATTCGTTTTTGAACTATCAGAGCGTCAAGTACGGGATTACAACAGACAAACTGTCTGGATAACATCTTTATAAATTTTTCTCTGGAAAATTACTCAACAGATATCGTCGAATCTGGCATATCGGACCACTTAGGCCAATCCATCAAGCTGAAAACTAAAAATAAAAATCGACCTAACGTATACGCTGCTTTTTTGCAATGATGAAGGAATGGGATGACGCTATTCTACTAAATAATAACGTTTGTCCTCATTCCAGATTTTCCACCTTTTTTAATGCGGTACAACATTTCTACATGCATAGCTACCCACTCAGAAAGTTGAGTACGCGACGCCAAGATAATGGAATCAAGTGGTTTAACGAAAACCTGGCAAAAATACGGAGTAATTTGCAAATGATTAATAGTTTATATTCAAAATATGGTTCCGACAAATTACTGCAAATGAAACGGACTCTGACTTCCCAATATAAGAAAGAGCTACAAGCGGCTAAAATAAAGGCAAATGACACGTACATCAAAAATTCACAAAATACGTCCAAAGCAGCTTGGGACATAATCAAATCATTTCGACAACAAAAGGTGAACGCAGATACTCAATTAACAGCGACGCTATTTAACTCACACTTCATCAGTGCAGGAAGCAAAGCAACAAATCCGACAACATCCGTGGACCAAATTTGTAACAGAGTCGACTCTTCTGCTATAAGTGAATTCAACTTCAACAATGTGTCTCAGGTGGTAGTGCGCGATGTGCTACATAAATTAAAACTCCAATACTAGGGACATCTTTGGCTTCAATACCAAACTTATTAAAAGAAATATATCGCTTTTCGTGAAACCGCTGACGACCATTGCCAATATGATTATAAACACTAATACTTTTCCGGATCTAATGAAAATAGCATTAGTACTCCCTATATTCAAGAAAGGTCATACAGAGAGCATGGACAATTACAGACCAATTTCGATCCTGCCTGTACTGTCAAAAGTGTTTGAAAAAATACTATGTGACCAAATCACCAAATACTATAGAAACCAACTATCTCTTACATGCCCACCAGTACGGTTTCCGAAAAGGAAAAAGCACTTCAGACGCGATCATCAACCTTATACTACTAAGATTCTAAATAGTTACGAGAAGAGCCAGTACGCAATCGTGTCTTTTGTAGACTTCTCTAAAGCATTCGATTGTGTAGTGCATAACATTATTATTAGAAAGCTGAGATTGATTTATAAATTTAGTGATGCAAATGCAAAGTTAATCTCATCGTACTTAACAAACAGGCTGCAGTGCGTTCGGTTCAACAATGAGACATCTGAACAATTAAAAATAACCAGTGGGGTCCCGCAAGGGTCAATTTTGGTCCCACTGCTATTTTTATTATATATTAACGATTTACCGACCATACTTCCTAGTACCGTCAGCTGTATACTGTATGCAGATGATGTTACGCTAATTTCAGCAGACTCTTCTTATCATGTGGCTTATGACAACGTGGTACACGGATTATTAGCTATTAAAAATTGGTGTGCGGTAAATAAACTCGGACTCAATGAGAACAAAACAATAACACTTACTTTTTCATTAAAATGTGACGCTAATGTGACTGTAAAGTTCACGAAGTTTCTGGGGTGTATGCTGGACTCTCATTTAAACTTTCATGAACATTGCGATTTCGTAAGGGCCAAGTGCAACAAGTCAATTTATGTGTTACGTAGATTAAGTCAAACTGTTTCCCAACAGGTAACAGTGTCCGCATATTATGCTTTAGTACATAGTATCATAAGCTACAGCATATTAGCCTGGGGGTATAGTGCATCGGCCTGCACCATATTCAAACTACAACGTAGAGCAGTTCGCGTAGTAGCTGGTCTAGGATACGGGCAAGACTGTCGGCAAGTCTTCATTAAATTACAAATTTTGACGCTCCCCTCCGTATACATATTACAAGCTTTGTGCTACGCAAGAGATAGCGTTGACAGTCAAATGAAATGTCCAACAGCACACGCACAACATAAGGATAATTTAACTATCCAATACTGCCGGCTGACAACGTCCCAGAACGGATGTGAATACCAAGCGAAGACATTATATAATTCTTTGCCTGTTAGATGCCTCTCCGCAAAACTATTTAAAGACTGTATAAAGAAATATCTTCTGTCAAAGGCCTTTTACACCTTTGAGGAATTCTGTTCGTCGGTAAAAGCGTTAAGTTTATAACTTCTTATGACCTGTGATATAATATAATCGTTTTTGTCTTGTGTTATAGTTATGTAGGAAAGTTAGGTTAAATGACAAGTGTAAATGCAGATACTGCGTAATGGCACATATTAAATATTATTATTATTATTACTATTAAAAATAATAGTTTTTTAGGCATTAAGCGGGAAGCTGTTTGAGCCTTGGTGGACCTCAAGTAAAAGAACGCGGATTAAAGCTAGCCCTGTGGTAGAATCCGTATCTAGAACTACCGAAAAATTATAAGGATGCGAGCGGACTTTTCCGGCTAATGCGCCAGCAGTATCTAGTATCATTTTCATTTTGTTAAAAATGTCCTCTTCGAAAACGAAAGTTTCAAGAGACAAAATAAATCAGTTTCGGTTTGGCCTTATGAAGTAGTAATAAATTAAACAAAATATAGCAAACGAGCTCCTGGGTATGGGTTGGCTTGGCATTACGTATTATATGGCTAAAGCTATGCTCATTCTGAATTTGATGCAATTCGGTTGATAATTAAGGGAAATGTCAAAAGGGCCTTCCTTATTCTTTGCCCTACATTGCCAATACACGAACTTCGATCTACAAATTTGATAAAGAATGCACCTGCAAAATTTCATCGTAATCGGTACATTCGTTTTTGAGGTATCGTGCTAACGGACGGACGGAACTACCGCAAAATTATAAACTCGCTAGGAGCTCGTTAATACTATATTAAAACGCGAGAACGTGAACTTGGTTGAAATCAGAGGGAACAAGTAGTCAGTTCAATGACCTAACTACCTATTGCCTAAGAAGAGGAAATCATACAATAAACAGCCAGAAAACGTCAACAGTATTCTTTCCGGAGACCCAGATTTCATTCTATGTCGTCTATATCGAGTTAAGGCACCGTCACTTTGAGAAAGACCGTATTGTTGCCATAGGGAAACCATCGATCCCAGAAAACACTATAACGCGTAATTTAATGTGATGTAATTGATTTTTTGATTTGTATAAAAAATAACGATCGGTTCTCTTTTGACAAAAAAAGGTTTTTTTAATAGTACATTAAGAGACAAGTGTATAATCAAGTCTTTAAAGGACGCGACGCGTAGGGGACCGCACAACATGTTGCGTGTGCAGCACGGACACGAACTCGAGGGGCGACCGCCTTCTGGAGTATTTGCAAAAAACTGATTTGAATGTTGTAAATCAGGGAGCAGCTCCTAACTTCGTCGCAGCTCGGAGGTAGGAGGTTATCGATGTGACGTTGGGCTCTTTTTCAATAGCTCGCGAGTTAGAGGGTGTTTGATGAGCCGTCGCTTTTGGACCACGGGCACATTCTTTTCCAACTAAACCTGACATCTAACTGCGGTCCCTGTCCCTGTAGGTTTCGGAATCCCCCATCCACTAACTGGGACTGCCCACTACCATTTTTTTCCCAAAATTGTACTTTTCTTAATTAATTGCATTTCAACTTTGTTACCATTCGTAGAAAGAGTGCAGTCTTCTTCTCTCAATGGCAATTGTTCATTCTATCCTCAAGTCATAGATGCTATCTCGATTATCAGTATTTGCCTTTGTGGTTTACGACGACTAATATGCAGATCCAGCCAACACTAGAATGTCTTTATTGATGTGTTGTTGCTGCAGACCGAATCGGTAAGTTATTTCGTTTACTCGCATGTCCCAATTTTGAGTGGCTTACTAGCATCGCCGACATATAAATGTCAACAAAAGTGATAGTGATTCGACATGATCTGATTACACACTTCACTGATTTTGTCTAGAAACCACGGATTAAAATAGTATTTTGTCAGGGGCCAAAGCAAACCATTCATCACACTGAGGCGTTGCAAATGGGAAAGGATAAAATCTGTAAAATTCAGGTTTCCATATAGCGAGAGCATAGATTACTCGTAAAGGCTTTATTAACTTTAAATCTAAGTAGAGTATTCCAATTCAACCGATGTACATTCTGTGTAATTTATCTAATCTGAAATCCTGTTCTATTGATGATTAAACAATGAGTTTATTAATGGCGCATCTAAAGTTAGTAGCTTACACAGACTAATCAAATCCATAATTAATTAGCGCGACTGAATTATGTCTCACTATCCGTGCAATCTAAATCTGAACGGAATAAGAGAAAAAGGGCTCATCATGGAATAAATAAAAAAAGTTTCCAAACTATTTAGTGAGTGTGTATTCACCGTGACGGCTTTATAAATTAGCTATGAAAAAGGACTCACCAAAAACTTCTTCTTTCTTCCCGGCTCCTGTCGAAAGTAAACAAGCGAATCCTGCGGGATACTAATATTCGAGCCGGCCTCATTATGCGATCCCAAACTTTCGTATTGGCTCCTTTGGCAATCTATGTCTAGCCTTAACGTGTTTGTCGAGTATTCGGCGCTCAGCATTATCCACGTCCAGGCTGAAAACGAAAGATAACAACAATGACAGCACGAGAAAAACGAAATTTAAATAAAGAAATATGACAAAAAAAGATTTTGTACACTAAATCTAGAAAATATATGGAATGAATAATGCTTCCGCCTGTTATGACAAGGGTGAATTTTTATGATGACAGGAAACGAAAGCTCTAGGGATAATACATTTAAATACTTTTACGACATGTAGATAAATTGTAAAAATAACTCTTTTCGGTCGGATTACGAAATATATGAATAAATTTCGAGATTATAACCGAACTGTTTGTCTTTGTCATTGCTTTTTATATACGAGCGGTCAGAGGGTATGAGCCCTTCTTAGGCGGTTCATTTTAATCTAATTCTTGAAGCAAGCGCAGAATGAGCTTTGAGAAAAAGGCAAATGTCACTTAGTTTCTCTGATTCGCTCTCATCTTGAGGTTGACGTTATAACAAAAATAGACAGATCGTTTGTACCTGCATATTACGTAAAAGTGCAGCATCTTGCTGCCCAACACCAATTTACAGCAAAGTAGAAACATCTAGAAATAGTAAACAAAGTTATATATCTAGGATGCCATTTGAACAAGGAAAGAGACCACTTACAGAAGTTTAAATGTCGAAAAGGCGAGAACCGCTTCATAATGTAACGTGATTTATAAATTCGGGTTCGATTTATATCAATATTTATTAAACAAAACTAAACACTACAAAAACCGTACAATTTATATCGACTATTTATATCACACACTTCGCAATTTATATCAGATTTTCGCGCTCAATGTTTCGTCCGTACTCGATCTCGTTCGATAGTAAAACTGCCGCGATGTTCGGTCCGCAACCATTTATACACGCAAGCAATGTAAGTCCAGAACATTCACGCAATTACCAGATACGTGCAAACATTCCCACTATCGCGCGCCTAGAAAATTCCAGAGCGCCAAAGGCGACGTCATATCTGGAGCGTTTCCGTTACAATAAAACATTTTGTGTAACATGCACCTGAATATTGATAATACGAATACGAAGATGCTATGTATTTTCCACCCTCTTATATGGGGTGGAGGTCTGTACCTCTGTATCGAGTTTTTATAAATTTATGTTACATTTGTATTATTATAAATACACGAACATCAAATATTTCAATTGATCGTAACTAAGCACTACAAGAAAATATGGCATTAAACTTCCAATCAGTAAATGTAATACCCCTCCGCCGCCGGTGCCGAGATATTTAAGATGAAGACTTTACTCCGCACGAAAAGCGGTAGTGGATGGAAGTAGTACAATTCCGTGAAGGGTTGATGAGTCTAAAAGTAGAAGGGTTTTATGAGGTACATTAGCCGCTGAGAGATCAGAAGGTACAAGGTGGCTCTGATTTATCAAAAGAATGCTCTGAAATGGACCCATTTCACTATGGCCTAAATGTTTGTACCTTTTGTTACCAGGGAAAAGGGCAATTTCTAGAATTGAAAACTGTTGAATAATTTAGGGGAAATTTAAAGAATATGGTTTGAAGACTTGAAGAAGTGAATTTGACAAGTTTTATTAATTTAAACAATTTAAGAATTGGAAGAATCTCAAAAATTCGAGGAATTTGAGGAATCTGAACATCCGAAGAGTCTGATGGATTGTTTAAGTTGGAGAATCTGAAAGAACTCAAAAATTAAAAACATCCGTATCTGAGAAAAAACGAAAGAGTGCGAAAAATCTGTACAATGTAAAAAATGCAGACGATTCGAACAATTTGTAACTGAAGAACTAGAAAGATCCAAAGTAATAAAAGATTCTGAAGAATGCAAGGAAACTGAAGTTTCGTAAAATTGCTGAACTGGAAGAATTTGGTGAGCCGAAAACTATTTAAATAAGTCGAAAAATCAACTAAAGGCTTCTAGAAGACCCGAAAAATTTGAAAAAACGGAAAAATCCGGCGAATCATTAGGATGAAGAAGTTGAGAACTCGAAAGAATTCGAAGACTAAAAGATCACATCCAGCTGCAAAATCTGATTAATTCGAAGAATCAAGTGATGAACGAAAAACAATTTAAGAATCAGAGGTATGGCTATGGAGGAATGCACAATTGGAAAGCTTTAAAATGTATACGAAACATGAAACAGAAAGGATTTGAAATAACGAAACGAATCCGATCCTGAAAAACTTAAAACCCTTCAGTATTGACTCGTTTTTTTTGGACAATAAATAATCCAGATAGATTTTGATTTATATCCGTTTTCGGGGGACCACAATTTTGCGCCATACACGGACTGGTTGAATTTACCTGAATACAACATTTGTTTTCAAGATAACATGAAAAAGCGCTTCCCAAAGGAAACGTTTTTGTTGTATTTAGACTAAAATGTATTTAACAATTTTAAGTATATCTTAGATTCGGCATATCAGATCCTATATAACACCAGCAACTCGAAAGTCTGAAACGTATGATACACTAACGCGTAAATTTGAATATCTTGCAACAACGCAAACCTTATGTTTAACCTGTTTTAAATTTGAGATTAATGCGTTTTTTCATGCACAATTATGTAAAAAATATTTTTTGGGAATACAAAGGTTTCGTCTTGTGGCGTCCCATGAGAATGCCTGAAAACCTACACCACTTTTTCACTTAATTTATTGTCTAAATGAGACGTAATAAATTCAATCAATACTTAATTAATAATACAGATATTGTTAATCAGATCACCAGAGGTTGCATTGTATGAAGTTTGTTGTATCCGATTTAACGTGGTTTCAAGCTGTATCAGTACCGAAATTTAATGAAATAATGATTACCTACTCTATAACAAAGTTTAATATGCCATGCACGCATCCGCATCCCCAATTTGATAGTCACGATATTTTTCTTTCTGTGTGTTTAATTTTATTTACAAAGTGGTAGGTAGGTAGCCCTTTGAGCTTCAGATTTGTATATTATTTTTTATTATTATTAATTATTGTATTGTATATTTGCTCATAGTGAACTTATCTTTTTGGACCTTTGATGTTTCAGTAGTTCCATTTTATTTACCTACAGGCACGAGATTGGCTTAAATCCACCTTGTATTTGGAAATGTTGCTTTGCTATTTAATACTCGAGCAGGACGCAGCTAAACCACTGTTAATCTTTATTACGGTGGCGATTTTTTAATTTTCCGCATTATTTTTCCAATTGATTTGTTGTTTTATCCACCGAGTACGAATGCCTAATGTTTTTTACCCGCAAACAATCTTTTTTACAATAAAGTCATCACAATCATTCTAGCGGTCCTGTGTGCAATGGTGTTCGGTCACTACACCCCCCACACAAGACCTACCCCACTAGGTAAATCAAAACAAATCAAAATTGAAAGTTAGAATTTTATAAATTCTCCTCGTACACACCCGGCATAAGAAAAATCCTAATATTGATCTAAAGTCTTTTCAATTTGAGAGACTCAAGGGCCTCAATCAACTCCAAAGAATTTATTACATCTGAAATAAATTTTGGGTACTAATAAAAGAAACTGGTATGAAAATTCTATCAGGGTTGCACAATGGATTCGCATAAACATTAGACAATGACAAAAATTTATTCCAAAACACAGTGGAATTAATATTAAAACACAATCCCTCCATGAAAGAAAAGATTACAACGCTTGTTTGGACATATTATCCCGCACTTAGACGGTCGACATTTAAAGTAGGGAATCGCTTACAGTTTTTCTGAATAGTCCAAATAATCCGGTCGTACAAGGTTTCAGAAGCACTTAACTCACACACTGGAACTCCACAAACCAAACCGACTTCATGAATAAGCTAGATGACAACATTTTCGGTAGCTGTTTGGACGGTAGAAACTTTTAACTTTTAATAAGAAAGGAATCTCAATAAAAAGCCTCAATGTACTACAATGCTATATCCTTCTTCAACTCAGCAAAACTGTTTTCGTAAACGGACAACACGTGCTAAAACTACTTACACAACTTTGGGTGAACTTGCTTCTGCACAGATCGATTATAAAAAATGACGAACTGCGTTTTCAACAAACAAACCGGGCTGACTGCCTGTAATTTAGCGTAAACAAATGTACACTCTTTTCAACCGTCGCGAAAACTAGCAGCAGCCTCGTTTTTATGTTGCTTGGTGGGTGGGTTGTTGGAAGAAGACGGCCGGGACAGTAAAATTTTTTTTTTGGCACACGAGTTTTTTACATAAACTAAAATGGGTAACAATTAAATGTAGCTAGGATACGTCATAGGATAATTCATACCTAAACCAGGCGCTGGTGTCGAATAATTAACAATTATTTTGTCCAAAACCATAAGGCTTTAGAGTGAGTAAATTTTCTCTTAATTGTGCTTAAAGTTGCAATATAAAATGCGAAATAAAATACCAATTTCCCTTTCCTCTCACTTAACCAGCGCCTGCTTTCCCGACGACGAAACGAGTTTATAATTCCGGGCAATACCCGAGTATTTTTAAACTTTTACATTTTAAAAACAATAAATTGAAGTTTCTGCTACAGTTGATTTCAGTATTTACTTCGATAGGACGCGTCCGGCGTCCCCACTTGTACAATATGAAAGGCGCAATTGTTCGACACATATTACCTCTTAACAGTAACAAAACACGTGCGCTAATTAATTTTCACCTGATAAAACTCCTTATCGCATTTAAAGATGTAATTTCACGTTTTACAATTACGAGACACAAAGTTACTCGCCTTAGGGTCTCTTACTTGTTAAATTTAGCTGACACTTTAAAACATTATTTTGGATAAGCCCATGTTATAATTGTGACGGTGCTAAATAAATTTGTACCTCCCACGGCACTGGTTGTACCTCATTGTTTAAATCCGAAAATTAAATTTTGACGCTCGGGTTTGATTGCACGTGTATAAATACGAATTCCAAAATAAATAATTGGATATATTAACAAACTAAAGTCGATCCAATTCCATTCCCTTTTACATTATTTTCTGATTTAGAATATTGACTTGTTTCCCATAAATACAGAAAATGCAACTCCTCTATCGTGGCCACGTTTTAGACCTAATTTCCTTTATCTAAATTTTTTACGCTATACACTCCGAGAATTTTTTACACACTATATTTATACACACCCGATAGTTACACAAAATTTGAATTCACGCCCTTGAAGAAGGCCTCTTCCAAGAAAAATTGAAAACTGAATCGCTTTTGGGATGATCAGTTGCACCCTTGAGACCCACTCTGGTACAAAATTGCCTCTCGTTGTGTCGAAATTACTGTACGAGTATAATGTCTTTTTACGTATCTTGACCGTATTTATAACTCAAATTCACAAAGAATAGCTCGGGTTCGCGATTGAGGTTGGTCGATCGTAAAAATTGAAGGGAGAACTCTCAAGCTATTGGGATCGAAGTAGAGGGGCTCTTAATAAAATTGGTGATCTGTAATTTTACGAGTTACTGGTTTCCTTGTGAGTCATGACCGATTAATGGCTTGGGAAAGTTACTGGCGACAGTCTGACGGGCGGTAATACTATCTCAATGTATATTACGTTCCCAAAACAGCCTAGTCAGCATTCCTCATGACGATATTATGCCGGTCCGCGTGAAGCGCTAAACTGACGACATTAAACGGCCGCGTGTTCTTGATGCACGGCCGTCATACGCATTTGATTAGGGTAAGGGAACGAATCCGCTTCGATCATGATTAAAAATGGCCGCCTTACCTAATTAGCACCATTTTGGTCGTGCGACAAAATTTAAAAAGAGAAGTAGGGATTAGTCGAGAAGGAACAGAATTTGGTTGACGAGAACGTCATGTAAGGGGTACGGTATAAAACTTTATCGGCCCCTCAGTGTCATCAGACAGTGCAAGCGAAAGTTATACGTAAAAACAGAAACCGTTCCAAAAAATTCATTAGCGTTCAAGGAATAAATTAATTATACATGTCCTTTGAACATCTGCCAGAAAGAATTTTGCGAAAGTCAAAGTGAAACCGGGGTGTGAGATGTTGAACTCTCGAAAAATTACGAGACCAAGTTTGCGATTATGTTAACTAATTTAAATTCTTTCCCTTTCGAAAGTTCAGGTTGCCCGGAACAATCTAAATCAGTTCCAGTTTGATGTAGGTCGTAAAAAATTGTATTGTAAAAGTGAAAGGTAATTGACGGCAGACAGTAAACGTAGACGATTCCATGCCCGATCAGTTTTCAGCTTCAACAATCACAAAAACGTCCATGTTAGTCCTCCCGACAGTTCGCGTTCCGTTATCTGTTATCTATTCCGAAGGTACTACCCGCTATGAGAAGCGCAAAAATTTACCTTAGGTTTCCAGAGGGCGCTATATGTATAAGGTACTGTAATTTTTCTTGATTTGTATAAAAGTAACGATCGGTTCTCTTTAAGAAATTGCGTAAAATATTTTAGTGAAATTTGAAATAACAATTCTCAGCCGGTATCGATCTTTGTACCTTGGCACTAATTTAGAAAGGGTTTAGTAATGTAAAAGAAACGTGGCTGGGGTTGTTTTCATGTGTTCATAGTAAACATAATAAATATTTAAATAAGTAAACAATGTAAAATAAAGTGGAATTTGAATCAATTTTACTTAGTTATTTATTTAATCTTTCATGGTATTTTGTAGTTATTTAAAGAAAATTGAATTGGGCAGTTGCAGTAGAAACTATTATACAGCTAGACGTCTTTGAAAAATTAATTTTTTTAAATTAGCACGATTAAGGGGTGGTCCAGTCAAGCAATTATTGCAACAAACAGTTACATTATGCCTTTCCAAAGCCTTCCTAACCAAAGCAATGCAATTACGAATTATGTGAGCAAATTTCCTATGTGTTGCAATATACAACTAGCATACCAATTATGCTTTCCCCATTCATACTTTTCTATTTCATTTCTCTTTTGTGAAGCAACTCCCGCGAGCGGTACAGATAGGAAGTATTATGTCATTGGAAAATTTCACATCCAGAAATAGATTCGTTTTTTCCTCTCTTCGAAGTTTTCGATAATTTCCGCTCGATTCTAAATCAGCAATTCAATTTCCTGGTCATTCAAAAACACATTTACGTTTGTCTCGATTCGAATGATGGATTTTAATGGAAATGTAGCGAGATACAAAGAGACAAAAGTCGACTTACCTGCCAATGGAGATTTTCGATGGTGTACGGGCAAGCTCCAGTCGCTTTGGTGCAATTTCGTAGAGGAATTAATTCTATACTTTAAGCTGAGCAGTCCAGTTCTGGAGTTCGTGGAGAGCTGAAACCATGGGGTTAACCTCCCGGGGGAATTGATCGATATAAGGGTTCCTAAATTATTTTTCTGTTGTCGATATAAAAATATGACGGTGAAACCAGATGCTTTCGACATCGCATTCGTGACTGCCGTTGAGTTTGCTAACGGAACGTTGCCGTAGGGCAAACGAAACTTATAGGCTGGATAGTTATTTATTGGACCTTCAACTAAGGACACTCCTGGATCTTTTGCCGTTACGTTAATTAACTTCAGTATATCAACCTCACCTGAAACAAAGAAACCAAGCGTGAAATTTAATCCAATACTTTCGAGCGTGCTTTAGGGCGAGGTAGGTACATTATAAGAAGAGGGCGAACGTAATTTTTGCATCAATATTTCGACAGCAGACTAAAAAAAGGGATAAACGGTTCAGTTGAAAGCTTTTCAAGGGTCTTTCCATTTTCTGCATACTATATATGTCAACTTCACGAAACGAGCGAAATTTATCATGTCAAGTGTACGCGCGCGAAAAAAAAATGTAATTTCTTTTGTTGGGAATTTATGAATGTAAATTAGAGGAAGGTCGATTGAACTTTATTTATTCGAATCTGAAATTGAAAGTTTAAACGCTACATGAAAAGTTGTGGCAGGAAACTTGAGGCATTCATTTCAAAAGTTGTGGGTTGGATTGTATGGAAAATATAGTGCGCTTGCCGCTTTAATGTAATTTTAAATTGAGTGAAAGTAATTTGCAGGGGAAGGAAAGAATGTTTCGCGTTTCTGCAAGGCCAGAGACTATAATTAAATATAAAATGTGATATATGCCATAGTTAATAAATAAAAATAAAGTCTCTGCAAACACAGGTGATAACGGCTAGTCCCAGCATCTACCGTACACATCATCTTTATCTTAAGACAACAAATTTATTCCACATAATATTTGATCTCACACTAATCTCCCATTGTAGCGATTATAACATCCTTCTAGGTTTTGTTTTGAACCTATTACAAGATTTCGAAAGAGAAAGTGAGAAAGAAAAGTAGGTAACAGGGAGGGGAGGGGGGGTAAATGAGATACAGCAATTCAAAATTTTAAAGTCAATGCTTCAATAGGATTAGGTAGTTCAAAAATCGCAAGCTTTTCAGTTTATAAATTGTAGTAGACTGCTGCCCCGCCATCTTGGAATATTGCGGAAAACAGCATCTTTGGAATTATAAGATATTTTAATAAAATTTCTCTTTTTTTGCTCTTCGAGTTCACAACTGAAACGCGTACCGTTCACCGAATATTTCAATAGAAAATGAAGCATTACAATATAGCTAGGTCTTTATACCATCTTTGTTATTTACATATTGTATAGTAAGTATGATATTTTGTGGTAGATACTTTGTTTTCCAAAATTAGGAGAGTTGAGCATAATGTATATGACCGACTGTGTGGCTCAGTGGTAGAGCGTTTGGCCACATAGCTGGGAGGTCGGGTGTTCGAACCTGGATTGAGGTGAATTTTTCATATGTGGCAGAGATGGGAATTTCCTTAGATCAGTTTCGATCATTCTGCCGGCTACTCCGAATTAGGTTTTCCTGAAGTTTTCATAATTCGTAAGGTAAATACCGGAGTATATAGAACAACTTAAGACCTTCTGGAGGGTCACCTCTGAAAAGTATTATGCGTTCACCGATTTCGTTCAAATTTTCATGATCTTCCTTTTTTAACTAACCCTTTCGAGGAATGTTAAATGCGAATATCTCAAGAATGGATTGTTTAGTAAAGAGGGTACTCAGAAAAAGAAAATGAAGCACATAGTCATAAGACTTATCCGCCATGAGATCCGTCATATCCTCTATTTCTAAGCCTTAAAGTCCTACCCTTAGGATCAATGTTTGTTTACAAAGTGTTAAAACTTTTTTATGCATTTAGTGGGAATTTACCCGACATCGATGTACATAATTATCGAAGAAAGTTACGTAGTAAATCTCAATTTGTTGTTCCTAAGCCTAACCTAACTCATTTTACCAAAACATTTCACTTTTTAGCACCAAGAATTTTCAATAAAATTCCTATCATAAAGTGCTTCAAATCCAAACCGGCTTTTCTTTCACGGATAATGCGATGGCTTCTATCGTTTCCAGATGTTGAATTTTTAATTGAAGTACGGGAGTAGGTAGCTAGTAAACCTACGCGTATAAGCCAAATTATCCACTTCTACAATATGGTATATTTAGAAATGTAACTTACTTATAAATAATTCTTAATTCTAGTTACTTTGGTATATATTGTGATACACCAAAAATTATGTTTTGTTCAATGGTATGGTTTTATTCTGACCGCAGACTTATTATTTTCATTTTTAGTTTAAGTGCGCGATGGTGTCCTCTACACAGGCTTGCCTTAGAGGCCCTAAGTCTCTAGTATAGCAAAAAAAAATTTATTAGTTACTTTGTCAACCTCTTCATTACTGTTAATTTTATTTGGTGTTAATTCAGCTACTCTGCTGCTGTACTTGAGCAAAAATAAAAAAATTCTTATTCTTATTCTTGTGAAGGACCAAAACTACGAATTCGAGTATCTATTCATTTTCAGTTAATTAAAGGTACAGAACCGTACCGCTTTATTTTACCCACCCCAAAAAATTTGTGATGGGGTACAACAAACGGTAATTTCCAATCACAGTTCGAGTATTTTTGGACATGCAGAGAAGAGTTTAAAAAAAAATTCCATATATTTTTCATATTATTAATGACGATTTTAACATCTGGTCACAATGTACCTATCTGAAAAGAGCAATAAATTCAACTTCTGGGGTCTCCGAACAAACCATAAATTACCGCATCCAAAAAGCACAAGATAAATATGATTAAAACTGTACAGTTGTAGTTACGGAACGGACAGAGAGGCAGATAGATTGCTGCAAACTAAAAGTCTGTGATATAATCTCAAAATTTAAGAACCCAAATAATAATCTAGGCATCTTTACGATTCAAAAAATTTTTCGATTTAAAAGCCTGTTAGCCTTTTTAGACTATCAACGCTATTAAGGCGTTAAGAGTAAAAACGCCATTAAATGCTGTGGGAACTTTCAAAAGTCTCTTTCACCTTCTAAAGTGTTTTTGAACCCTTTAAGAGTATTTAGAAGACGCGATTTTACATTTCATATCCTCTTTAATTTTATTTTTTTTAGTTTAGACACCTTCAAGAATTTTTTTACATAGCAAAACTATTAATTTTATGCGAAGATGTTCAAAGTAAAAGCTGTAGCGAACAACTTTTGCACCTACACTTTTTTCACTTAAATTCAAATTTTCTGAGAACGGAAAAAAAGTGCTATTTTTATTTTTGCGAAAAAAGATCTGAAATTTGGAAGAAACAACACAGACAGAAAAGAAGAAGATTTCTTTGTGCTCTTAAAGTTTAGCCATTTCCGAGATATTCACGGTTTTTGAAGAAAGCATCTCGGTTTCCGAGGAATGAAAAATCAATTTTTTTTAAATCCTACAGAGCTGTCCACCGGAGTAGCGAAACTTTCGTAAAGATTTATACTTTAATAATCAAAAATATCTTTCCGATAAAAAAATTTCCGCTAAAAACTCAAAAAACAGTTTTCCGATATACACTTTTTTTTAAAATTCTTTTCATTTCACCTGCATGAAAACCCCGGCTTGGAACGGGAACTAGTTTTTTAGAGCTGAACTATTTAGGTTAGCGTTATACAATTGGGAATTTTTCTTGGGGTTTTGTTGGTAACTTTTATTCCAGTGGTATACTCTTTAGAATTTTTATTTTCTAGACTATATCGAAATTTTCCTTTATTTCCTTTATATAAATCTTTCTGTTATCACTCGTTGTCTATTTTGTCTAGGCTCTTTTAATCCCTTACTATCTCATATTATAATGTCATGCGCATTTTTCATTCACTCCCTTTCTACGTTCGGTATCGGATCTTTGGTTTTCTTTGTAGTGTGCTCTATCGTGTGTTTGTTGTACCGATTTTTCCGCTTTTTGATACTTCCGCCTAGTGCCCGTTACTTTTTCATTTTTTCCCAAACGATGTCCTTGATTACGTTATCGCACACCGATTGGATTTTCCTGAAGGCCTCCAGTACATCCTAAGTACTTTTTGTGGCCGTTGTCACGTTTCGTATTGTTATTTTTTTAATTTTTTATGTAACGAAGCGTCCGGCGTTTCTAAGTGGATTTTGCCGTTTACGAGGACCACCCTGTGCAGTAACGATTGGTTCGAGCTTCGTTTCGTAGAAAACCGTAATTTCGAGAAGTTTCCGCGATGCTATGGAGACAAGGAGATACCGTAATTAATTAGTCCGCCTACACCCGATGTTGGAATTTTGGAATTATTTTTGTAACCACCGAAAGGTCTTGTTCCGGAGAAGATGAAGGACAATTAATATTTTTTGGTTTATAAGCTGTTTTAGTTTTCCATAATAAGTAAAAGCAAGGATAGATCAAGTTTCGAAGATGTTTTGCCCGCTGTCAGTTAGCGTCGTGCCTGCAAAAATTAGATAACCGCCACCTGCTCTGAGCTGGAAAACTTGCAATTAACATACAGTTAATTAATGTAATGAGTTCATGAGCTTCCGTTGTGTCTTTTGGGTATGTATAATTAGCATGCACTAATTAAATGGATTACAGTAAAGAAGCGCCGATTGAGACGATTGTGGTATCAAACTTTGCGCGCTTAATTAAGGAATCGATTCCCAGATGTTCGGGAATTTTAAGACGAACAGGAGCCGAGTAATTAATTAAAAATGGAATTGATTGGTTTCGATTTCGTATTGAATACGCGACGGTTTGAATTTTCCGTGTTCCACTTCTACCAAATTGGGTTTCCTTTATAAGCCAAACGCTCAATTTTAGAAGGATCTTTGCATCTTTTACGTTTCACTTACCGTAAGCGATCATTATTTTTTTTTGCGTCCCTGTTTATAAATTTCCGAAGGTAAGCTGTTTTAGTGATTATATATAGGGCGGAATTGTGTTTATCCGTTTTCCCGAATTTGACTAATTACTTTTCTTCCGCTAGGGAATTTGCCGGTAGGTCATATTTTGTTTTAGCGTTCCAGACATTACCGCCGCCATTTTCTGGACCTGACCGCCGAATACCTGGAATGATCATCTCCGATTAAGACTACTTCCTAGGCTACCGAATTACCGCCGACATCGTCCAGGCGCGAGATTATCGTCTGGTGGCGCCCGAGTCCGTCCGTCCGTTCGTTCCCTGTACCGCCGGTTTGCCGTTTTGCCGCCGACTACCGCTTGAGGAATTACAAT